CTGTGTGAGAAGTTCTTGCCCATATTATAAATGTGACCTTTACAGGTATCTTTCAGAGGGCCCAGTGCTTTGAAGAGGAACCCTGAGGAGCTATGGAGATATTAGACTTGTTAAACGTGTCTCATAGGAATGTCAGTGTTCATTTAAATGTTCTTCTTTCTTTTTCTTCTTTTTTTTTAATCACGTAAACAACCCTGTCTGCTGGCAGCAGATTTTTAACCTTGTGATAAAATTAATCACAAATAATCAAAGTTCTGTATTTGCCCTTTACAGCCAGAGTCAATTATTACGATTTTTTCTTTTTTAGCAATTAAGAGACCCTAGATCTCTTCCAACTCTAAATTCTCTAAACCTTCCTGGTTCAAATATAGGTAACTGATATTGAGACACCCCCCGCCCCTATAGATCAAGAGTCACTCAGATTTTCTTGATAAAGGACTAGATCTCCTCTGTTTTCTAAACATTCAACTAAGAGGACACAGAATGAAGTACAATTCTGGGTGTTTGGTTTAGCCTCCAGCAAACCTTGCCAACCAGCATGGGTGCCAGCTAACTCTAGAGACTGATTAAATGCCCTTCCTGTAGGGATCCCATCATGCGTTGTTAAGTCCTGATCTAGATAATCTGTCCTTACAGTTGATCTAACACAGCAGTCCTGGGGCAGTGAATTATCTGACTCTCCCTTCTCAGATCCTCCATGGCAGCATACCCATGAAATTCTACTCACACCGCTTGGGTGTGCATTTCAGATTCGCCCTTTATGTTCTTCTAACAACTCTTTGAGACAAAGTTAAAGATCATGAACCTTAGCTTGAACTGACTGGTGTCATGGCAACTAGAACTTCACCTTTTGCTGGTCCCCACCTCGTACATGCTACAATATTTGTGCACATTAATAATTCATTGCAAAGTGCCAGATTTCTTTGTTCTGTCAAGCTGTGTCAAGGACCGAATATGCTGTGCTATCTCAGATGTCATCTACCAGACTGTTGAGGGCAGGAGTAATTAGAAAGGAAAACTAGTTGGGTTACTTTGGAAAATTCCTGAAAATGCAGTGCTTTCTGGTCACCCATTTATGGCACTTTTTTCCTTGCAAAGTAAGGAACAGAATTAGTGTTGATCGAGGTTTATTTAATAATGCACCCCAGATCCCAGGTGGGGGTGGGCGTGTGGAAATAATGTACAAGGAGTAATTGCTCATGTCCATTCAGGCATCAAGAAATGATTAACAGCCTTAGTCACATGTCCTAGGGTCCAGCAGGACCCTGAGCATGGGCTTAAGAGAAACCCTGAGTGGTCCTGATGTGGGTGCTCTTGCCCAGCTTGCCTCTGATCAGCATAGAGTGAGTGTCTGGCACCTGTTTTGGAAAACAAGCAGTCTGGGTCCCAAAGCTGCTGGCATTACCTGCAGGGTTTCATCAGCAGCTCATGTCTTGTTGACAGCCTTAGAAGTTGTGGTGATTGTGGTATTACCTAAGGTTGAGTCTTTCTACATAAAGAATATGGTCTTTGTCTTCAAAGGTACACTATGCACAGACACATTGGATTTCATTTATAAAGAGATCAATTTTTTCCTGTTTAGGCAAAGAAGTCATGTTTTAAACTGAACTTTGGCCCACTACCGCTTTAAATTTTTTTTGTAAATCCTCTCTCTCCAAAAAAAAAAAAATTTGAATTAAAACAAAGTAACCAACTTGTGTCACACTTCACTAGCTACTTAAAGTTGAAACATATTTCCCTGAACAATATGTTTATAACCCACAACTTGAAAATATTTTAATTATATAGCCATATTTGGATTACTTTGCTTCTATTTTTTCTTTCTCTCTTCTTCTTTTTTTTTTTTTTCCTTTCAATATAAAACCAGTATCTTAACTCCCCTGCAAACAATTATGGGGCAGGGGCACAGGAGCAGAATCAGAACCAAATCACATTCTTTGGAATGTGAATGTACAGCCCTCCTGCTTATGTGAGAGAGAAAAACTAGAGCTGGTTTACATTTGATGTATCAATTTAACCCAGTTTAATCCTGATGAGTTTAAATTCTGCTTAGGGACAGGAATGAGACCAAGTCCTGTTTTACCCATTATTACAAGGCCAGATTGTGACACAGTAACCGCACATAACACATGTTCAAGAATGACTAGTTGAATGGAGAAGTGAATACCACCAGACTCATTTCAGGGGAGGGGTGAGGACTTTAATCAGTTTCAGAACCTTGCAACCAATTAAACTTAAAACACAGTTAGGAACTTGTTAATCTTGTATCACCTGCCTTTATATGCTGCTGAGGATCTGGGTTAGTCATTTAACACCTACAGGCAGAACCTCAGCACATGAATATGGGGAACTCATTAGAACCAGCCCACTCTGGTGTCTGTGAGTTACTAATCTGCCCGCCGCCAGCTGGAGTTAGGATGGACACTGGCCACAGAAGCAAGCAGCTCAGTGAATCAGATTTGTCAGGTAGCTAAGTAGCAAATTCTTACTTGTATTTTAAATTGTGTGTAATTTCTTAGGATTTAATATTAAGTTCCTATATTTACCTGTATTAAGAACTTTTAAAACACAAAGATAGAAAGGACTCTCTTCTAACACTAGGCAAATTTTAATATAGATGACTGTGTGACTTTATTACGAGTCTAGTGATATGTGGCATGATCCTGTCTCCATGCCCAATTGTTGGCTAATGTGAGCGCTCTGAACAGATTGGAGGTAGGCTAGGCTAAGCCCTGAAGGTTGATAGTTTAGGTGTATTAAGTGCATTCTCCACTTAGGATATTTTCAACTTGTGGTTAGTTTATCACGACATAACACCATCATAAGTTTAGAAGCTTCTGTCCTTAGAAGCAATGCCTGGCTAACATCAAGAATAAATTTTATACTTTTTAGTTAGTCTGGGAATAATTCATCATTAGTCATTTTATAGACGTGATTGCTTAGGGATATGTTTTCAAGTTTAGCTTGGAATATAGAAGCTTTGTGACGTGACTTGATTTCAGTTCTGGGATATAATGGCCATATTATAAATTATAGAGCCTGAAGTTGAACTATAATGACCTAAATTATCAGTTCTTTCGGCTTTTGGGGGTATAAGGCAGACCAAAGTTATAATTACTGTGATAGTTGCCCTAACAATTGCCATTTGTAACTCTGAAGAAACAATCCAGCTGAAACATGTGCTGGGCCCATGCAGTAGTGAGAGGTGAGCACAATCACAGGGTGGCGATTCTGCCTTAAAATTTGTTAAGTCTGACCTGTGTCATCTAGCTTGGTCTGAGACAGCCAGATAAATAAGTATAAAACAGTTAATCAAAATATCATAAAAGCTTGTAATTATGTGTTAGGATGAAAGGTACCAACTATGTGTCTTAGAGAGAGATGGATAAAGTCAAGCTGGTCTTGAATAATATTAGATAACACAGGCAGGTGCATGGGCTGGGAGTGAGCTCCATGTCAGAGCACATGCTCATCCTGCACAAGGTCCTGGGTCTAATCCCCAGCACTGCAAAGCAATAGTAATGATGACTCTCTAAATACTTTCAATAAAGGATTATTACAAAATTCAACTGATACAATTAATATAAAGCAACTGAAAAGCATTACAGACTGTATAACTCTGTGATCACTGTCACACTTGGGCTTACATAGAAAGGGATTGGGAATATAGATTCTCAGAGAAGAATTCATAGGTAAAAATTTGCAGGTGAGCAGAAGAATTAAGGAGACCCAGACAAATAGGGAACAAGTCCAGAATGGGGTACTGAGTGATGACCCAGGAGACAGACAGGGGAAGACCTTGAGATGCTTTATAGAGATTCATCTGGCAAATGTTCCATGAATTGGAGTGTGGAAAGACTTCTGAATTAATGAGATTGCTGATTTTAATTTTATACATGCGAAAGTTATCATAACAAACTAAAGATTCATCCAAAAATTCAGTGAGTCCTTAGCCAAGAAATCTCTGAGAAGGGAACTCTTTTTTTTTTTTTTTTTTTAAGTCTGCTGTGTAGTGCTTTGTTTTTTAACTTCATAAATCATGGGAAGCTGTGTTGGCAGTAGACAATAACTCAACAGTGGACAGATTGCTCTTTTCCTGCTTTCTTTTAAGAAGCAGGTTATAAAACTGTTGGGAGCCTGGTAGAATAGTTAATAGATCATCTTAAGTAATTTGAAGGATTTTTTTTAATGCAGTTCTGCATTTTGAAGGCAAGAGACCAAAGGGGAAAGAGAGTTTAGTAAGAAATCGGTGCCATCTCTGATTTTCACCACCTCAGTGGATCTGCCACATAGTCTGCCACCCTAAGTGGCCAGTCTTCTGCCTCTGTGAGATTTACCTCAGAGACCCCCACAGTGCAGTTTGGTCCTTTGAAATTCTACAAGTTCTTATCAGTATAGCATTAGCATCGTGGTATATTTTTCATTAAAATGGTTGTGTATTTTTACCATTTTCTACATTCTAAAGCACTTTACCTTCTGCTAGCGTGCACATGAACAGTGAACCTTTTGATGGTACAGCAGCTCTTCCTTCCCGGGGCTATCACTAATTAGATGTAGCGGTAGGATAAGCATTTATACAAGGCACCTGCTCATAGGGAGGCTTCAGGTCCTCAGAGCAGATGGCTGCGCTGAAGTGTCATGAGCGTAAAAAGATCTCTGCCCTGGGAGTCACTTTAGATTAACAGACAACTGTCACTTAAAGGTGATAAAGACCCTTCCACTAATAGCTTTCTTCTCATCTCTAGGCATTGTCCCCCAAAGTCCTCGTGTTACAATCTGGTTGGTCATGGCCTCTAATAGCCCTGTCATGCCAATGATATGGTACTGAGTTAACCAGACACATAAAGGACCTTCTCTTTTTTGGAAAATATAAAATGTTTTTAAATGAATTGGGAAGTATAATATTGTATGGGTCAGAGTTTGTTCTGTGACCCTGGATTGGGTTTTAGAGGAAATTCAGCAGGTCACTTCTAAAACTTGAATCTTATCTTTCCTTTCAGACGACTAAGGCCTTTCTTCCTACGATGCTGGAGATTAATCATGGTCATATTGTGACAGTTGCAAGTTCCTTGGGATTGTTCAGTACTGCTGGAGTTGAGGTTTGTCAGATGTAAAGCATTTCCTTCAGATACCCCGTGATGAACACATCACCAGAGTACCTGCTGCTTGTACATTTGTGGAAGTGTCCAGTTGGCATGCTGAATATAGGATGTTTCCCAATAAACCAGGGCCAGCTGTTAAAATGGAATTATACCTCTTCTGCCATAAAATCACTTCTACTGGCTTGACAAAGTCGCAGCAACAAGAGAAGTAGATGGGCCAGTCCTAAGTGTACCCCATTTCCATCAGCAGCCTTGATGATGGTGGGAGGCACAGGGTCAGGAATGGAACCATGGAGAGCAATGGTAGTGCTGTGGGGAACAGATAAATGAGGCCAAAGATTGATGTTCTGTTTTCATCATCTTGCCAAAAGTGAGCTGCCTTGTGTTGGCTCATCAGATGAGTTGGTTATATTCAATGTCAGGTCTCTGCATTTTAAGTTTATAATAGTGAACTTCATCAAACCCTGTTCCTCACCATGCTGAAATTATAAAACATATGTAAACTATTGTTCTGTGTTGTTTGTCTTATGGGTACCTATAAAATTGAAAAAGATAATTTCATGCATATATGCAAAGCAACACAGAATAGATGGCTTCTGCATTCAGGAGATTTTTTTATTTCCATTCCTAACTTAAAGTTGGGTCATGGACAAGAACTGTGTATTGTGTGCCCTTAGGTTAAGTTCTAGTTTAAGTTTACAAGCTTTGATTATCATTTTCATTTGAATTTCACCCTAAAGAGAAAGTCAGATCATAACAACTTATAACCTGAGCTAGACTTGCCTTTGTTCTTCTTGCATTAATTTAAACAAACAGGTTTTTCAGTCTCCTTCACTGAACAAGAGACCATTTGTAAATTTTCCAGACACTTCAAAGTGAACCTCTCTGCATTTTTAACTTCAGCCTGTTAGCTTTCATAGAATCTTTGGCAGTAACTTCCCCAAAGTAATTTGATACTTAGTAGATGTGGCAAAAAGCATTCATCTGTTTCTGCTGTTGCTTTGAAAATATTATTTCTGCACTGAACCACATCGGATATCTGTCTTTTAAAATGGTTTCCTTTTCTTTGCTTGGCCACCTATAACCTTTTGTAGCAAACATCTAGCCAGGGAAGATAGAACCAGGGAAGCTTCAGGTTGTCTGGATTTGAGCATGTTCTTAGCATTTCTGTTATTTCTCCTCTCTAACTCAGGATTACTGTGCCAGTAAATTTGGAGTTGTGGGTTTTCATGAATCCCTGAGCCATGAACTAAAGGCTGCTGAAAAGGATGGAATTAAAACAACCTTGGTTTGCCCTTACCTGGTAGACACTGGCATGTTCAGAGGCTGCCGAATCAGGTGAGTGGGAACATATTACGGATAAAAAGGATAACACTGGGGGAATGTGTGGAGTTGGATTTTCAATCCATCTTTTGCTTTAATTGTCATTTGACAATTAACCTGTAGTTAATTGGTCAGGGTTAATTGGTTTTTAAAATTGTGTAAGTTTGGCAAGCAGGAGACCTGTGCCACACTAACAGTAACTTTCAGAAATTAATTCAAGAAGCATTGTATGTATGTAGTAAGTGGCATTTCCATCCCTTCAGGGAGAAAGTGTAAATACCCAGGATCTTTCTTACAAGCTGTATCCTCAAGAGTAATTTTCTCTTAGTGTTGGTAAATAAGAGTACCAGAGGAAAAATTCTTAATATAACTTTGGTTTAGATATGAAACAGTGTCCCTGTCACAGAGGAGTAACATGCCTTTATTCTAAAAAAGACATTGCATATTACATTCCAGATTCGGAAATTTCTCTTTTTTCAGCAAGTGTATGTTGCTAGATTCATTCTGACAGAACGAGAAGAATCATTTAGATTTACTAAAGATGAAATGAAAGACCCACACACTTAGAAAGAAGCACATGGGAATATAAATGTCAAGTTCCATCTGACTCACGTTCAGCAGAGTAAACACAACCACGAATCATTAAGAAGATACTTGTGAAGACACGCTTACTTTGAGATCTTCGCTTAAGTGAATCTCCCTGTTGGTCGAGAGCCATTCTTAACACATACTGAACCGGACAAGCAGTGAATTCTGTGGAGGGCAATTTGAGTCGTTCCAGTCTCAGACTGACTCCAAGTCTGGACTGAGAAATGAACTCTAGTGGGTAGGGGTGCAGTTCAGTGGTAGAGCACGTGCTCAGCATGCATGAGGCCCTGGGTTCCATCCCCAGCACCAAGAACAGAAAAAGAAAAAGTAGGAACTCTAGCTCCTTTTCATGAATGTGTGCGTGTGTCAATGGTCTGGCTTTTTTCCCCTATGTGTCTAGAACCTGTTGCTGGAGGTCTTGAGGAGTTCTGTTTCCTATTTAGCACAGTTGTATGTGCAGACGTCCAAAGCTGGGGTGGGAGGATAAATGCTAAAAGCAATAAATCGTGTTACTATGCTATTTCAACATGTAGCATAATGAACTAAACTGTAGGGAGGATATCTGTGTGCCCTTCATTTCAGAGCTCCCTAGAGACTGTATTTTAGCTTTCCCTGTTCAGGGGAAAGGTGTAGACCTATTATTTCACTCAGAAAGGCTATGCCAGTGTTTACGTGCCCACATTTTAGCTACCCCTAATCCTAAAAGCTTTGCCTCTTGTTGGGGTTTAATACTTGCTATGCCAGACACCTACTATTTCTACTTAAAGGAAAATAATAGGAAATACATCTTGAAGCATCTTAAAAACACCACCTTCTCACTTTACAGAAAAGCAGACCATTTTTGCTTTTTTCCCCCTACCTTGTTTTCCTTCACACGTAATCAGATATGTTCATAGTAGGAAAATTTGGGAGAAAAAAAAAAAAAACCCAGAAAAGCACCATAAAGAAAGCAAAATGTACCCTGTATCTGGTCACTCAGATAATGTCACAGTGTTTTGATATGTATTTTCAATCTTCACTATTGTTTAATACTGAATTTTATTTTTTAACATAAAACATATATAGGAAAGAAATTGAGCCCTTTTTGCCCCCCCTGAAGCCTGATTACTGTGTGAAGCAGGCCATGAAGGCCATTCTCACCGACCAGCCCATGATCTGCACCCCCCGCCTCATGTACATCGTGACCTTCATGAAGAGGTAACTGTGAAGGGCTCTTCCTCACTGACCCAGCCTTTCCCTACCTGCCCCAGACCCTGATTAACTTGAGGCTTCGAGTTTGTAACTGTGACTTTCCATTTCAGCATCCTTCCTTTCGAAGCAGTCGTGTGCATGTATCGGTTCCTAGGAGCAGACAAGTGTATGTACCCTTTTATTGCTCAAAGAAAACAAGCCACAAACAATAATGAAGCGAAGAATGGAATCTAAGAATCTTTTTGTATGAAATATCATTTCTATCAGAAGACGATCAAGATGTTTCAGTCCAGTGCACATCAGCGTTACTGACATTCTCTGGATTCTAACCCCACGTTGACTTTTTTAAAAAATCAACTTTTTTAAAAAAATAAAGTGTAAATTAACTGACTAGAGTACTTGGGAAGTGTGATCAGTCAAAGTGAGCTAAGCTTGTTGCTAACAGGATCCTTTTAGACAGGACCCTAAAACCAGTCTGATCTTTAGACAAGCACTGTGTGACATCTTTGGGCTGTCATTATTTTTTTAATGAACAGAAAGTCTAGAAATGATAACTACAATGTGTTTCACATGTGTGATTTTTCTGAATTCCCATAGAGTTTATGCATTCTTGTTAGTAAACTCTAGCCAACTGACATCCTTGGAACTTCAAGGACTATAGTGCTATATTTTCTCATCTTTTCTAAGTTCCAGTTGTGTAAAGCCTGTGTGGCTTTTTCATGGTGTCTGTATGTTCAGCTCTTTTTGAAAAGGAATTTTGAAATCTCCATCCATTTGAAGCCAGTGATGTCTGAGCATTACAGTAAAGATGATCAGATCCCATTCTTAAACTCACATTGACTAAAGTATTAGATGATTTTTTTTTTCTTTACATTTGACCTCTGAAATACTTCATTAAGTATCTGGAGACCTAGTTATCCAAAAAGACACGCATTTTCTACCTATGAATTTTGCTGCATATAGAAAGTGCCCTTTCCTCAGGAGTTGCTGTGTTTTGTGTTTTGGGTTGGACTCTTATCTAGAGTACACAGCAGCTTTGCAAAGAACCCATTTCTAAAAATGGGAATTTCTACATTAAAAAGTCCCCATTTTTGTGCCAACTATGATTAGTGAGGGGGAAAATCTTATTCTATGGAGTATGTACGGAAGGGTGTAAAGATTCCTTTGGAAGGTTTATTCACATTGTAGAACAGCAAATGACATTTTTACAGTATTTTTTTGTAAAGCAAACTATTTTGTGCCTTGAATTTGGTATATGTGTATTAGTGAAACATTGTAAAAGTGAACTTCTACCTCTGTATCTAAATGTGTACCATCCACTTGTAAATTACTATGAACTATTATGTGATTGCTTTTTTTTTTTTTTTTTTAGAATGTCTTGTTTAAATAGTGACCAATGTTTAAGGCTATTAAAATAAGCCAACTTTTACTAATTGGGAAGTTTTATAAAGGACTGATTAAACTTAATTAAATTACATACCAGTGACTGTGATTATTATCAGCAATGTTGTAAGGAAAATCATTCTGTTCTTTTTCTTTCATGCCATCCTTATGTTGCATGGTTAAATAAAAATGTTTGAATGGGATAGCATTTGGGAACAGACATAATAATAACCCAGGGTGTCATGCACCCAAATTTCCAATGTTACCATCTACCTATGTAAGATAGCTTCATCAAAGGCTGCTTGTATTAAAGTGGGAAGACGGGGCTGGGGCTGGGGCTCAGTGGTAGAGTGTTTGCCTAACATGTATGAGGCCCTGGGTTCGATCCTCAGCACCACACACACACACACACAAAAAAAAATTAAAGTGGGAAAACAGAAATACTCCCATTACCTGTGTTTGTCTGGCTGCACCACAGATCAAACCTCACTGGATCCATGTTCTGGAAAGGTCCTGGGTCACTGCCAACCTTCCCAGTACGGTTTTAAGGAAGAGCTTCGTCACCTGTTTGAATTTCTCTTTATAAACGATAACTAAACCCTAAGGCATTTACCAACAGAAGCCCTGGCTGCCTCTTAATTTTCAGTTTGGGATTTAAATAAGTACTTTTAAGTAGCCTTAAAACAGTGTGGGGTAAGGAGCAATTATTTTCAGGTTGTTCAGGTCTGCCACCCAACTAACACCCTAGAGAAATTGTTCAAGTTAATTTTATGACCCATTTGTCAACCTCAAAACTAAAGAAAGTCTTCTTTACCTTTGGTTTTATTCTCATGTGTTAGAATCTAAACCTATTTCTATTTTTGTTATTGCTCTTATAAGACTGTCCATCTCCAAGTTCAATAAACTGAATTCATTTTGGGGTACAAGGCATCGATTCCCATATCCCAGTCCAATTTAATTACTTCTGGGGCTCTCCCTTGACTGTTGTCCAAACTCTTTCCATTTTTAACTGTGGCACTTGGAAAGGGATACAATTCCTGCAAGTTTGGAACTGCAAGATTCCTACATGTCGTCTTCATCCCAGTATCATATTCTCAGCATTATGCTATTTTGCTGGGGGTGGGGGTGGGGTCCTAAACATTAAATCTTTTCTAGTCCTGCACGCTCGTATTGACCACTAAGTTAATCATAAGGTTACTTCTCCAGCTGGGGGCTTATCTGTACCTATGCTACACACATACACCTTGACATTAATGCTGACTTGAAATATGTTCTCTTTTTCTCTCATCTGGCCTGTTCATATGAGTGTTCAGGGCCATTGGGTTCAAGGCTGACACCCTGCCCCCCAACCCTTTCTGTCCCCAGCTGGTGTTGTCCCTGTCCCTCTCTCTAACCTTTCAACCAGTTTAATGATAATCATATTGAGTGGGACTCAGGAGTCAAAAGTTTTGAAGCTGGCAAAGATGAATTCCTACTATTGTTTTCCCCCTTGATCTACCAGGTCTGCTGCTCTGTCACAAAAGATTAGATTAGCTTGACAAGATTGAACAACATAAAGCCAGGCTACTTTGTGTGTGTGTGTGTGTGTGTGTGTGTGTGTGTGTTTTAGTATCCTATTTCCTTGAAAGGCTATAGCTTTCAAATTTTTCCCAAGGTTAAAAAAAAAAATCAAGTTAAATGTCCTTTTCAAAGTTTTTGTTTCCAACTGGCAGAAATAATTCTAAATTGATGTTGACCTATATCTTGGAAATTTGCTTTTGCCTCCAACAAAATATGAAATCAGTAAGGTTGGGGGAGGAGGATTTTTTTTTTTTTTCATGCCAAATTAATTGACTATGACTGATTTAAAAGAAGAGTAGAGATAGCAAAGCTGTGATGGACCAGAAGTGGTTGGGACGCAGGAGTAGGGAGCGTTGAGTCAGCATTTGTCCACAGTTTAGCAGGTACACCATGCATCTACTGAGCCAAAGGGACTCAAGTAACGTGCAGTTAACTCAGGTACAAGGAAGTATACCTGAATGCGCCACATATGAAGCCTCAGAGTGTGGGGAGGGGAGAGAATCCTGGAGGGTTGTGATGGCCACCCATGAGGCTGGGTATGGGAGTTTGGGTACCTCTGGGAACGGATTCTCAGGAAAGGTACAGAGGTCAAAGTAGATAAATTATATTCATTGTGGCTGAAACAGAACATGGGAAGAGAATGGCATCCATTCTCTCAGGAGGTCCCATCAGAGAATAACCTTCATTACAGGATGAGAAATGTGTCCCTCATTTGATACAGAAGAGGGAAGCCCTGGATTTTTTTTTTTTTTTTTTTTTTTTTTTTTGGCATGAAAGCAACATGGTCAGAGTTGTGAGTTAATAGAATCCGTTAAGCTGCAAAAAACAATTTCAAGACCCAGCAAGTAGGGACAACCAGTTAGAAGGGCAGATGCTATAGTCCATCAGATGGGTGATGAAGGCCTGTGAGAGACAGAAGCAGTGAGAATGTGGGGAGAGCTGGGGTTGAGCAGCCAATGGCACAAAAGAAACTTGTAAGTTCAGGTGACTGAAGATAGCTTATCGCCCAAGAGCACCTGAGTTGTTTTAAGTGGGAAGAATTCATAGGCGGTCCAACTTAGAAATGGTGAATTGGGGATGCAGGATGACAATAACTGGCAGACAGCTGGACAACCGGCTCTGGTCCTCAGCAGGGAGGTTGGTGCTAAGATTCTGCATAGAAACTATGAAGTAAGCAAATCTGGGAGGGGGAAGCACAAAATGAGAAGAGAGCCCAGATCCATGGGACCCAACTTGGGGACCCTCAGGCAGCCTCAGCAGAAATCATAAAAGGTGATGCAGTAAGGTTAAGAGGGGAACTTCCTCCTCCCTAGGAGAAACCAGACTAGAAACAATGCTCTCTTCCTGGACCTAATCCCCAGGCTGAGTCACACTAAAGAAACCTCAGTCTGGCCCAAGAAAAAGAGTCTGTGTGGCCAGCCCTGGGGCAGAGGCCCAGAAGGTGAAGGGCAGTGTCAACAGATAGCACATGAAGTCTTTAACCTTGTACTCGGGTTACTAGTAACAAAATCCACCCTTAAAACGACCAAAGGAAAATTCCTTCCTAAATGAAACCTGGAAACTGTTGCTCTTTGGCAATTTTGTTTGCTTGGCCTCAGGAGCATGAATTGCTTAAATGCGCAGGCAACTTTTCATGAGAATCCTGGGGGAAAACAAAATACAAATTCCAAGCATCATCAAATGGATACATGTGAGTTCAAATGAACTCCTTTAATGTGCCAAAAAAGATGAGACAGGACCAACTCCTATCAGTCTGCTCGAAGAATCCTATCTGGTCTCTGGAACACTGAACTCGGGCCAAAAACTGCCTTTTTCGAAGCAGGTCCCGAGTCAAGCGGGGCATCCCTGATCTCCCACTAAATGTCAAGGTAGAGCAGTACATGACCACAGCCCAGTTCATACTTTAGTATGACTTTTCCTGTGGCTTAGAGTCCTCCTAATACAATAGCTATCTCAAAGCATTTACACAGTTCATGATTTACCCATCTCTCGGGGAAGCATTGAGGACATACGGCCACACAGGTTAGAGAATCCTGCTCATTTCTGTCGTGAACTAACACAATGTCTTCCAGAAGCTCCTAACAAGCTTATTAGCTGTGACTGTTGAAACGATTCTTACCACTAGCCAAAAGCAAAAGACATTGATTAGCAAGAAAAACAAAGCATCTTCAGCCCAGATTCTAAGTTTGAGGTTTTCCTGTCAAGGTGATTAAAACCATGCTGCAGGGAGAGATGTGTGTGCATAGCAGCCATGAAAAATGCCCTCTTGCTTGCCCACACGTCCTGGGTGGTCCACCTGGACGCCACTCCATAGGCCTCCCCTCCCCCAAGGGAGGAACTGGAGCCTGGCTCCTCCATCCCAGCCCTCTGCCTGCACGTGCGCAGTCTCCCAGGCCAGCCCAGCTCATTCGGGGCCTGAGTGATCCAGGTGGCTAATGGGCAGGTGGGGGTCCTGGCTCGGACACTGACACACATACGTATGTCAACAGCACAGCATCCTGTGGAGTTCCTGCTCAAGAGCTCAGTATTGTGGATTGAATCATGTCCTCCCCAAAGATCGTTGAGGTCCGAATCCCCAAGGCCTGTAAATGTGCCCTTATTTGGAAATAGCCTTTGCAGATGTAATCAAGATGAGGTCATATTGGATTAAAATGGGCCTTAAATTAAATCACTGATGTCCTTTTAGGAAGAGACGGAAACACAGGGAGAAGGCACCATGTAACCACAGAGGCAGAGATTGGAGTGACACAGATACAAGCCAAGGTACACCAAGGAATTGTATCAAGGACCAAAAGCCAGGAAAAAGGCAAGGTGCAGATTCTGCCTTGGAGCCTTTCAAAAAGGAACCCAGCCTGCTGACACCTTGACTTCAAATTTCTAGCTTCTGGAACTGTGGAAGAATAGAATTTGACAAAATCATGCTATATGCATGTATAAATATACACACCACAGTGAATTCCACCTTTATGTGTATCTAGAAAACACCAATTAAAAGTAAATAGATAAATAAATAAATAAATAGTAGCCTAGAGGAAGGGGAATAGGGGAAGTGACTGAAATGAAGCAATCAAATTTCATGCGTGTATGATTATATCAAAATGAACCCAACTATTATGTTTGGATATAATGCTCTAATAAAAGCATTTTTTTTTAAATAGAAAGAAAGAATAGATTTCTGTTATCTTAAGCCGCCCAGTTTGTGTTGCTTTTTTACTGCAGCCCTAGCAAACTAATACACTCAGGGTCTGCTGTCAGACAACATGAACTCCAATCCAAACTGGCCTTGTATCCGGGCCTTTGTCTTTGCCTCCCTGTGTCTCAATCTCCTCGTGTGTAAACTGGCAATCATAGAAGTACTTGCATCGAGAGTATGGTGAGGAAATGTAAGGATACACACAAAACCCTGCTACTGTGCCTCCTACACCTCATTCGTGTTCGATAGACCGCTTTAGGTTGAATCATATGAAATCGCCGTTTCTCAACTGTTTTGATCTATAAAAAAGGCAATTTCATATGGTTCATCCTAATGGAACA